GTTTTTCATTGGAGTGAATGTTTCCTAAGTATTTACCAGATGATCCAAGAACTGACACTTTCTGAGAATTCCTCAGAGCAATAGCAGCTTTTGAACTGGTCTTACAGGAGGCCATATTACTATCTCTCCACCCTGTAGGCCATGGAAACTAAGGGAGGCACCAGGCAACCTGCATAACCTCACCCTTGAAGGGACCAGTGGGGTCTGAGGAAGACAGCTGAAATTTTAACTCTCAGGTTTCCAGAACATTGGCATGCTATTCCCTGAAACTGAACACCAGAGCATGGAGCAGCAGGCCTCCAATTGTGGTGGTTCTCAACCTGTGGGTGGTGACTCCTTTGGAAAAGCTCTGCCTCCAAAAAGTTTACATTACAACTCATCACCATAGCAAAATTACAGTTTTGAAGTAGAACAAAAATAATGTTAAGGTTGGGGTTACCATGGCATGAGTATTGCAAGGTTGTGGTGTTGGGAAGGTTGAAGCTACCGTGCTAGCACAGCGTGATGGTCCCGAAGGAACAACTGGTCTGCATCGCTCCCCATCATCCCTCAGCGGCTGACAATAGTGTAGTCGCTACTAAGTGTTGGCTCATATTTCAAGGCAAGTAAGCAAGCTGTGGATGAAAAGAAGAATGCTAGGAATGAGTGGGGAGAACAGAAGAGAAAGAAGGAGAAGGATATGCAGATAAGTATGTCTCGAAACTCCCATGAAATAAAATAGTGCCTATGCAGGATGGCATCTCAGGGAGTCGTTGGGCCTCTGTCTTTTGTTAACTGTTCTCTCTCAAAACGTGGTCATGCTCACTCTTGACCCACTGGCATTTCTCCCTCACACTTTATCAACTGTTTCGTTAGAAATTCTCTGAGACCAGTTGAGGGACTGACTTCATCCCAGCTCGTAGCTTTCCGTGCAGTTCCCTGGAACAGGTGGGCGATTGCAATGGCACAGTGCTCTGAAAGCAATCGGCTAATGGTAAGCATGCATCTTTATCTATCTGTCTGGAAAAAAAGGAAAGGCATAAAGTAAGATTAATGGTTTGTCACACTTGTGAGAAGTTGGGAAGGAACCTGATTAAAGGACTGGTGAGAAGGAAAGAAATCTGTATATGAATTATGTATACAAACTTCTTGAAGTGGATCCAGAAAGGAAGACATTTGTGCTCCCCTCCCGCCCCCCACCCTGAAGTGCTCATTCCTCGGGAATACAAACTATCCCCTTCTGACTGTGTCAGCCAGCCTTCTTCTCTATAAACTTGCCCTTGATCAAGGTAGGCCTGACCAAATGAACTGTGGCATAGACGGATGAGATTCATAAACTTTGGGACATCTGCTTCTCTCAAGAAAGTTCATGGAGCCCTTACCATGGCTGATTTCCTAATATGACAGTGCCAATCCGAGGGTTATGTTAGGAAGGACTATATGATGTTTAGTTGAAAAAGTTTTTGGACACAACATCGAAAAGACAGTTGTCGTAAAAGAACAAAGTATGTATATATAGTGGCAGGATGTGGTGACTTGGACCCTTAATCCTTGTAAAGAAGGTAGAAGCTAGTGGGTCTCTGTGAGTTTGAGGCTGGCGTAATCCATATAGGGAGTTCCTGTATGATGGTTGGTTTTTGTCAACTTCACATATGAGATTGGCCTGTGGGAAGATCTGTGGATATTTTCCTAATTGCTAGTTGATGTATGAAGGCTTAGCCCACTGTGGGTGCTACTGCTCATAACGGGTAGGTAATTGAGAAAATAGCTGAACAAGTCGGAGGAAGCAAGCCAATAAGCAGCATCCCTCTATGGCCAGTGCTTTTTCCCTCCAGATTTCTATCTTCATTCAGTTCTAGCCCTGACTTTCTTTAATGATGGACTGGGTCCTGTAAAGTTTAAAATAAACCCTTTCCTCACCAGGTTGCTTTTGGTCAGAATGTTTTATCACAGCAACAGAAAGTCAACTACAATGCTCAGTTTCAAAACAAACAAAAACAACAAAAGTTACCTAACACTTTAGTAGAGCTACACAATCTTAAGAAGACATGCAGAAAGAGTATCTTCCAGACTCTGCACGGCAGAACTGCGGCACACTTGAACTCACAGAGATAGTGGCAGCGCACATAAGACCTGCTCAGGTTTAAGGCAGATGGGGCCCCAGCACTGAGGGCGGGAAGTGGGCAAGGGGTCCCACCTTTGTCAAGAAGCTGTCTTGCAAGTGAAACTCTCTACCAAAGGGAAAATCCGTTTCCTCAGATGGCATGTCACTGAGTATATCAACCGCACTCCGGAGCAGACCCCACGCCCAGGAGAAACTGACCAACACAAAAAAGACTGAATGGGATTTTTGTGGACTTTTTGTTTCATTTTGCTTTGTTTGGGCCGGTTTTGCTAATGATCTTTTTTCTGTTTTGATTTTCATTCTTGTGGTTTTAATGGGGCTTTTTTGTTTGCTTCTTGCTTTTTTTTTTTTGCCCCTTTTTTCAAAAAAGTAGAGGTGGAGAAAAAAAATGATATAAAATTCTGTGGGCAGGGAGGTTGGGATGACTTGGGGAAGAGGTAAACATGAACAAAATATATTGTATGAATAAAAGATTTTTATTATTACTATAAAAAGGAAGACAAAAATTCTCATAGTATAAGAAATATTTTGAAAGTAAGAAAAAAAATCCATGTAGGGAAAAATGTCAGTGTTACTAATTCAAAATGTTCTTATATTAAGTAGACTAGTGTCTAAAGGAAAACTCAAAAGCATGTTAAAGTAATCTAGGGGACAGGAAGTATAAATGAAATATAATCATCTGTGAGTATGAAAAGTCATACAACTGGGAGGATAATTCCCATTATTGCAAACAGATCCTGTGTTCATGTTTCACCCACCACAGTTCAAAGAGACGCTGGTGGGAGCAGCGGTGTAAGATATAGGAACAGCCACATTTTGCTTTTGAGAGCTTGTGCCACATCTTCTTTGCAAATAGCTTTGGGTATTTGCTTTTAACACAGTTTTAAAATGAGCACTCTTGTTGACTCTGCAATTACACCTGAAGAAGCCATCTGAGACTGGAGAGAGGAACACCATGTTTATCACTCCACTGTTCACGCAGCGTTGAAGAGGAAGAAGCACTTAGGTGACTGAGAAGATGCGCTGCGGCTCTCCTTCCTATGGGACGTACTCTCTGTGACGTTCAACTCACAGGGATATTTTTCTGCTGCTGTGCAGAGAGGTGTCTCCGGTGCTATGAATATTTGAAGAAGTCATACTGCAGCATGCCTCTCCTCTCCCCGTACATCTGTGTGTGGATTTTTATGAGTGTGCAGAAAGGAATGATATAGCAACCAGCCAAGTCTTGGACGACTTCAAAGGAATGTCACTGTTTACTAGATAAAACAGAAGAGCTAGGAATTTTTTTGTTTTTCTTCTGTCATTTAATCTAGTCAAATAGCTCGATGCTGCTTTGCTTTGCTTAGTTTTACTTTTACATAATTGACTCATCAGTGTTTATTGAGTAAAAGTGCAAAAAGAAAATTGGTCATCCTAGAATAATTCTCTTCAAAAGAGAAGATTTTAAACATACCACAAAGTGTTCAGGAAAATCTCTTAGCTTTCTTATTGTGATTTGGCTGTTAATTGTTTGAGCATGTGTTTTAAAGTTATGACTGATGATACCCTTAAGGGCTTTTATTTTAATTATTTTTTTTTTGCTTGGAGAGACATTTGTTTTAAATTTTTGCAATTTAACAAAAATACCCTTGATCCATAGAAGAACCTGCCCTGGCCGGCACAGCTCTTATTGCACTAAGGTCACATGTCATATGACTATTTAAATTAGAAACAGAAACTTTTGCTTTTCTGTTTTTGGAAAGCTTTGCAAATGTTATCTCGGGATAAATAAACTCATAAAAAATGGAAGGTAGATGATAAATCAGTTTTTTGCTTTGTTTGGTTTGTTTTTCCTTAGAAGGGTGCTTAGATGAACTAAGTCTTAATTTTGTTTAGAATGCTTTTGAAACAGTGTTCCCTTCTAAGGAGACAATAATGTATTTCTGTTGACTGAAGGAAACATTAATATCCCATTAAACTCATTGTTTCCAAATGTTCAGTGTATAATTCTATGCTATATTTATATGTTTAAATGCAAGATTCATTTAAAATAGAAACATAAATATAAGTGTACTGAAGATTAATTTTTAAAGTAATTTTAAGACAGTCATGAGTAGATTTGCTTCGTAACAGTATCTATTTATAAATTCTTAAATACAATGCAAATGACTTTTCTGGTAAATTAAAGATATCAAACTCTTGCAAATAAACAGTGTGTAACTAACAGGTACATTTTCTGTCTTCTTTTTGATATGCAGCTAAATTGGTCCTCTCAAGGAAAAATGTAACCCAGTAAATTAGCAACAAAAGACTTTACTATGGTCCAAATATTTATCAAATTTCAAATTCCCTCTGTGAAAAGCCACTGGGGACTTTGGGTGACATCTCTAAATTTTTTTTAAAAGCTTTCCTATATTTTCAGCAAGCTTTTTAAGTGAACACTAGCTGTGGTATCTCTGAAAAAAAGAAGTCACAATAACATGCTTCCATTGAACATGGCATCCTAAAAGAATAAAGAGGAGGAAATGAAAAGAAAAAGAGGAAAAAATTATAGCTCAAAACAAGCCCCAAAGCCTTACACTAACTGGCGTAGTTAATTCCTCTTTCATTGACTGTCTAGGTTCTATAAAAGCCCCGAACACAAGGGCTGTTCCCGTTCAACACTCAACAGATAACAAGGCTTGATATTAACAGCAAAAACTATGTGTAGAATTTGCATGACTTTTTAATAGTACCATGAAACAGAACACTAACTGGATTATCATTTCAGGGTTTTTTTTTTTTTTTCTGGACCTTGTCTTGTGTGTATTATGCTGAGGGGAAAAACACTTAAACTGATCATTTTCACTTCAGAAAATACAACTCAATGAGCAGACAATTTGGTAAATTGCTGGGAGCTGTTTCATGCCACGGAGACTGTTGTGGTGTCGTTGAACTGCTGAAGTGCTATTAATTAGCACTCCTTGGGACGTCACATGACACCGACATAGAAAATCCCTGCATATTGAAAGGTTGAGCACTTGTGTGATACACAGGGTAAGTGGCCTTCTCAGTTACAAGAAGCAAGCTTTTTCTTGTCCTTTTACATCCCAACTCAACTTCAGAAATTTGCAGAAATTCATCCGTTATGTGGTTCAATGTGATGGTTTTGTTAACATGTTTCCCAATTACGAGCATTTACCCTCACAGGCATGTGTGCAAAATGAGTGCCCATTGATCTACTTCTACTACTCCTTTTGCTCTTTGAATGATTACAAGAGTGTTATTTTATAACATTTGATAGAGGTAGCCAGCCTGTTTGTGTGAGTGGAACTATGAAAAGAGGCTTTGCTATATTGATTCTTCAGTTGCGAAGATTATGCTGTATTCCAGGCAGTTTGGACATCATTTTGACTGAATTAAGAGATATTTGCTCTCTATAACTCAGTGGACAAAGAAAGCACCTTTCTTGTGCTGTAATTTGTATAATTTCGCTTTAGGTTCGAATAATTGGGCTGCCTCTGGGGTGCTTGTTAATTATTTGCAGAAATGACTGGCGGATAAGTTGGTGAACTCACTTTCAGAGTCGCTCCCTTGAAGCAAAGGAGGACCATCCAGCCATATGGGAGACCAGGTGGAGCAAAACAAGGAGAAAGAGAAGTCTCATCCCGACACATCCTGCCTGGCTGCCCTTTCCCATCCTTCTGATCCACAACGACTCCAGATTTTCTTTACCTCTAGGGTCCAGAGCTCAAACCAGTGCCTGAGTGCCTCCATCTAGGCTTCTGAGTCTAGAACTAAGAATCGCATCGCAACTCCCTCGGCTCTGAAGCCCTCTTAGACTTGTGCTGACCCGGTTCGCTGGTTTTGATGTTCTCCAACTCTCAGATGGCCTATCACAGTGCTTCTCCATAAAGAAATGAGCCAACCCTCATAATAAACACCATCCTGTGCCTCTGCACATCTTCCCAAATCTGTCTCTCTGGACAGCATGGACTGAAACAGTTAGGCCCCTTGCTGTTGTTTGAGTGATCCCGGAGATATCACTTTCAAGTTACGATGAATTTTTGCCGTGTCTACTCGATTTATCCTGTATCACATCAGACAGGATTCAGCTCCTGATGAGTAGTTTTGGCCACAGACTTATTCTTTCACAATCAGGTGTTCCATTTCCATCAAAGCCAACTAACATGAGTGTGGTTATTTCCCAAAAGATATTAAAATCTTGTTACAAAGGGGATGGATTTTCTGCAGAACCTCATGAGTCTTTGTTGGAGTCCTCACAGGGAATTTTGCCACAAACCCTACCTGGACTATTTTTCTTCACTAATTTCTGCAGCCCACTGGGGTTGACAGATCATATGACCTAAGTTGAGGCTTCCTACGGAGTCCTTTTCATCCCATGAGCCTACTCCTGATACTTCCTGCAAATATGAAGTGTTTCTATCCTAATTTAAATAAGAGTACAAATCAACAGACACAAACTGTGTGTTCCACATGCAATGTGATCTGATTGAATAGAGATACTGCATCTGCTATGGCAGTGACTGCTAATCAGAAGAACGCCTGGATTCACATTCCAGGGTCTATTTACCATTTTCCAGAACCAGATTGACGGATTAAATGGGGATGTGATGGTGATCATTCTATCTGTATCCTGCAGGGATGGGAGCAGAGAAAAACGTAGAGCTCAATAAAAATCAATAAAAAAATTTTTAACTCTAAAATACATACATACATAAATAAATAAAGGCAGAACTAACTTACACCATAAACTTATGACATTTTCTTTACTGCACAATGTGTTAATATGATCCTTCCTTTGCATTCTCTGGTGCAATGCCTCTTGCTTGCACAAAAGAAGATCCATTCGATATTAGTATTGTGAAGTATACTAATAACAATAATGCATTGGGGATCACAGAAACAATTACTAGACACATCTTTGCATTTAGTGAACCTACTGTAATTCACTCTTGAGCTACGCTTTTCCTGGGTGCTGTGCTACTTTCAAAAAGGGAAACCATATCTTAAGTCTTTTTGATGATAGCAGGGTCAACTCAGATTGTTTCCACAATGGTTTCCAAATGTCTGAGGATTCCCTTCATCCTCCCCACGCTACATAGCTATATGAGTAGAGACAGAAGTGCCCTCAGAAAAGGGCTGAGGACTCATTACTGTGCATAGTTGCTGTAGTCTAAACAAGGTCGTCCCTCTCAGAGACTAAATCACCTCTTAATGACTACGGAATGTGCAAAGTGGATCATGTCTGGAAACTAAAATTGTGACTTTTACTGAAACTGCTCTAAGTTTTCTGTCTCTGGTTTCTTGTGCTTGAATATACCCACATCTTCGTGTGTCTATTTTGTTGTATGGAATCTGTGTTCGATTATCTACCTCTATAATTCTGAACTGTACCCCCATGGGGTACCACGTCCACACTGGTGATCACTACTATAACCCTCACTCTTGTGGCTGTGCTACACTAACTGGCCTTTATTTCACAGTGTTAGTTTCAGGGCTGTCAGTGACTCGAGCTACTAAAAGGTTCTCCTGCTGGCTCTTGTCTACAGAGGACAGCCACTATTGAACTTGTCCAATGGTGGTGTTACCATGTATTTTCATGACTTTTTTCCAACATTTCCCAATATCTTTTGTGCTGCTATCATAGACTACACAAGATTTGCTCATCTATTTATAGAACAGATTTTTTTTCTTATATTTCTGGAAAACATTTCTCTGCCTCTTCTACAGGATTTCCCAAACTCTACCTAAAGTTTGACTGTGGGTTTGCAGGTTTCTATCATTTGCTGGATGAAGATTCTGATGAAAAATAGACAAGGTACCAATCTAGCCGCAGCAGATGGCCACTTCAGGCTACTATCTGCTATTGCTAAGAGTTTTAACTGGGGTCACCCTTGTAGATTCCTGGGAGAATCCCTTGTGCTATGTTGCAGTTCACAATAAATCTCAACACAATTCTTTATAGACCTTGAAAAAAACAATATTCAATTTCACATGGAAAAACAAAAACAATAACAAAAAACCCAGGATACGCAAAACAATCCTGTACAATAAAAGAACTTCCAGAGGTATTACCATCCCTGATTTCAAGTTCAAATACAGAGCTATGGTAATAAAAAAAATCACATGGCATTGGCATAAAAAGAGACAGGTGGGTCATGGAATCTAATTGAAGACCCAGAAGAAAATCCACACACCTGTAGACACCTGTTTTTGTTAAAACAGGTGGGAAAATTATACAAAATTATACAGTGGAAAAAAAGAAAGCATCTTCAACTAATGATGCTGGTCTAACTGGATGTTGGCATTGTAGAAGAATGCAAATAGATCCATATCTATTATCCTACACAAAACTCAAGTATATACTTTTTAATTGACAAAGGTACTACTCCAACTTTTCTGTCATCTCCCAAACTTAGCATGACTCGACAAAGCAATAATTGCCTTACCTTCCCAGATTTTTTCATAGGTTCTCCAGGTGCTTCAATTATTAACTTTTGATGATTTCAGCCTGTTAATTGTTGTGTGTATTTCCACTGGCATGGACGTCTAACCAAATATGTTTTTCTTGCATCTACAGAAGTTCTACTGGTATTTTCACAGAGTAGATGTTCGCAATACAGACTTCACAGGACTAATTGATGGAAAGTTATTGGTTTAGTTGAAGTTTCATTTTTAAAAAGGAGTTGGTAGAATTTATTAAATTGCTCAAGCATGAGGAAACAAAAGGAAAACAAGTCAAACATGCCTCACCTGCTGACACATTCTGGCTTAGTATATTCTTCCTCCATCTATAGCTCTGGATTTTCACTAAATTTAAAACTCTACCAACTATATCTGTTGATTCTTAGGATAGTTTCTCACTGGACCATGAAAAAATGCTAGAGATCCATGGTGTATGGTCTGTTTAAGACTCCAAGTTTTTAACAGATCTTTGCATTTGATTAAACTGGGGATCAAACATTATCAAGATGTTAACCAAATCTGTCAGTACTACAAACGTGGTGAGATGTCCATGTCTCTATTTTGTTCCCATTCATTTTATTTCCAGGTAGAAAAGACGGTGTTTAAAAAGCCTTTCCATGTCTATTTCTAAATGACTTCAGAAATTTTTAAACCAAGCTACACAAATAACTTTCAGGGTCTGAAACATCTCATTCCAGTTCAGGTCGTGTTTTTATCTTGTTCGCCATAGAAAGATGGGCGCATATCAGGACTTAACAGTCTTCCAACCTTTCCTATACTTCTGAGAAGAGCACTATTATTTTCTTTTGTCATTTCCCTTCTTTTTTCGCTTCTTCGCTTTCTGATCTTATCTCCCAAGCCCAAAGCTAAAGTATATATGATTTAGTGACTATATTTCTACATAAGGCAGCTTTACCTGGGCATTGAAAACACGAGACAAACAAAACCAGCAGGAATCCAACTACTGAATTGTTTCTTATTTACGTGCACTATTGAATTGTTCAGTTGGGCTGTTACGTTTCCCATTTTGACTCATAGTGTATTTGGAATACATAACAGCACAACTGAACAATTCAAATTTTTAATATCAGCTCCGTTAGAAATGACTGTATGAAAATGGACTTGAAGCTGGAGAAATGGCTCAGTGAGCAACAGTATTTGTTGCTTTTGTAGAAGATCCAGGTTCATACTCAGCAGCAATGTCAAATGGCTCACGACCATTTGTACCTCCAGCTACAGGGGTTCTGATGAATTCTTCTGGCCTCCCCCATGTGCACATACATACACTTAAGCGCGTGCACGCGCACACACAGACACACACACACACACAACTAAAATAAGGTAAATAAATCTTTTTGAAAAATAAATAACTTAAAGAAAATTTTCTCAAACTTACCAGTTCATTTCCTGTGTCGCGGAGCTCATGACTTTGGGACAGGATTTGGAAAATAAAATTAGTTAAAAGCAAAACTTATTTTATATTTCCAATTATACAGATCTGTATAATTTCAAATTATACAGAATCTCTAACTTTACCAAAATTCCCGTTTATAAGAAACAAACCCATCTAGAGTTTGAGTTAACCAAAAATTACTGACAAAATGCAAAGCAGTCTGGAAAAGTTAGCTCCTGTTCAAGTCCTTGGTTTTTATCATATTACCTGTAGCATCAAAGCCTAATTTGCAAAAGAATTTTTTTTTCTTTTTCCAGAAAGCTCAAGATTTGCTCTTCAAGCTACTAACTACTAAGGACGAAAATGCCAGCTTGGAGTCATTTGATTGTCAGCAATCATCTTGACGCCTCTCTATCTTATCACACTGTGGTAAGTATCATAAGCATTGCTGTTTCCCGTAGTCCACAGCCCTTGTAGCTATTCATCCATATACATATGCCTGCGTTTTCTCTCTTTTCTAACTAAAACATTGGTTTGTTCTGTAGAAGGACTCTGTTCCTTTCATTCATTGAGTATATAGTCCAAAGTCAGTATCTGCTTGCTGAATAACCAGGACAATATCATACCATTAGAAGAATGAATAGACATGAGGAACTGCATTTGCACACATGGACAGTGACAGCAAACATTTCAGTGCACACTGAGGTAAGTGACACTCTGTCCTTGAAGTTTATATTGCTGAATTGTGACTGCCTTTATTAATATGAACTTGTTAATGTTCAAGGCATGAAACATTAAACATTCATGCTATATAAGATTAATAATATAAATCTTAGGCTCATGGATGCTTACATTTCTATTTCACTCTGCCATTCCAACCTCTTATGAACCTCTGGTTTTACTTTTATATATTGGTAACCATACTAAAGGTTCTCTAAAGATGAGATACAATGTAAAATATTGAGAATGTTAATAATTTGCCCTATGGCCACTGAATTCATTGGTGTCACAAAGTAAATAATAACCAGTATTGAACAGAGAAGGTGTTCAATGACTATATGCATTTTATTGCCGAGCTCTCATACCTTCAGTAATCCATTCCAGAAGAAGAAAAGTGGCTCTGCTAAGCTGGCTGTCTGTGATCATATGCTTCCAGTGTGGGCAGATGCAGATCTTTATCAAGAAAGCACATTTGTTTGGTGGAGACATTATGGCCCCAGCCTTGTTGGCTCTGGTCCTTTGTCAGTTTCCTGTCACATTTAGCAGAATATGTTTGACTGTCCTGACACTGTGAGGGTCTAAAGTTGTCTTGTTTTAGACCTCTATTATCAGCCCCACTGGCTTTTGTGTTTTTCCGTAACAACATCTGTGAGGGGTGTAATAAGTTCCATAGCAAGCTCAAGGATAAACGGTATGATTCATTGACAGAGGAAGATGGAGAGAACTTCTTTTCTGTTGTTGTTTGTTTGTTTCTCAAGACAAGGTATTTTTGTTTCTCAAAACAGGGTTTCTCTGTGTAGCCTTGACTGCCCTGAAACTGGCTTTATAGACCAGGTTGGTCTTGAACTCAGACATCCACCTGCCTCTGTTTCCTGAGTGCTGGAACAAAAAGCGTACACCATGACACCCAGCAAGAAGTTATTTCTTTATTGACATGATTTGAAATCAAATATCTGGAAGTTCACAAATGCTCTGCATTTGTTTTCCTTTGATTTTTCCTGTTTTTACACAAATGGTGATGATATTACACACTGATCGTTAAGAACTGAAGGTGTTTAGGTCATGCTGAGCAGAAGCACACAATCCCTTTTTGCGCTGTGGGGCTCATATCACTGAGGTTTGCAGGGATTTTATAATTGCTGGTTTTTCCTGTTATTTTAAAATTTCTCGCAGAGTTTGTAATGAAATATCTTGCCAGAGACTCTAGAAGAGAGACTTTGAAGTCCTTTTGATCTTACAGAAACTCGCTGGTCCTTAACTAAGGAGAGCCGCTGACAGATCTCTCTGCTGTTCTTCAATGATATCCTTAGTCATGATGAAAGGGTCTCTGTTGGCTTCCTTCCCTGTTAGATGATGCCAGTGAAAGTCAGTTTTTCCAGGATGGTGAAGAGCCCTTCATTCGAGTGGCACTTTTCAATTTCTGGTCCTCCATCACCCTCAGCAATCATTTTTTCATAAATTCATTTCTACATTCAAAAAAATTGAATAGCTATCACGAGTCAGCTGTTTGTTATAAACCCTAAGCAACCAAGAAAAATGACAGTGTCAATATTTCTGATAAGAGCAGGAGGATGAACTAGTAAAAATGGGGTTTTCAGGGGGGAATCCATGTATCTATGTGGGTGAAGGAAAGTTTTATGGAGGTTTGATTTATCATGTATAAAATTATCAGGTCCTCCACACAAAAGCAAAGACCAACAGCTTAGTGACCACAGAGGTTTAGGTTCCTCCAGCCCCTGAATGTCCTAGGCATACTTGGTTGAGTGTAAAAGCCATTTGATAAAAGACAGTTGATTGTTCCAACTCCAGGTATTGTGTGGGCTGACTGGCTGATAAAAAGAAGCCCAGTTCAATATTATGTGATGTGAACTTACAGCTGAATAAGCTATGTTAAAGGCAAGGGAAACACTTAAAACTCCAAGCACCTAATGATTTCAGTGCTTTCACCTTTACCTCCAGGTACTGTTCCAGTTAACCGTTGTTGACTTGAGGAGACAAATGAGAGGAGCTCGGAAGAGGAATCTTCAATTGCCTCTGTCAGATTGCTCTGCGGGCTTCTCTGTGGGGCATAGTCATAATCAGTGATCATTGTGGGAGGGCCCAGCTTACTGTGGACAGTGCCACCCGTAGAAAACTGCTCCTGAGTTGAGTATCAGAAGGCTGAGGATGCAATGAGCAACAGGACAGTGATCAATGTTTCTCAGGTGGCCTCTGCGTCTGTTCGTGCCGCAACCTTCTTCAGTGATCGACTGTGGCCTGGAGTTGTAAGATGAAATAAACTCATTCTTCCCTAGGTTGCCTTTGGTTATGGTGTTTATCACAGCAATAGAAAATCAAACTAATACAGAAAACAAATATTGAACTTTTTGAGTAAACGAAGAGAAAGAAAGAAAGAAAGAGAGAGAGAGAGGGAGAGAGGGAGGGAGGGAGGGGGAGGGAGGGAGAGAGAGAGAGAGAGAGAAAGAAAGAAAGAAAGAAAGAAAGAAAGAAAGAAAGAAAGAAAGAAAGAAAGAAAGAAAGAAGTATTCCTGTGGCTTGCTGAGTGCATGGGGGTGAAGTTTATAACAATTTCAAAAAAGATCAGGCGAAGTTACCACAAAGGAGGGTTAACAGAAAGGTCATCCTCAGATAGATGAGCTACGGGGAAAGTAAAGGTGATTCAAAATCAATGCAGAAATTTGCTACTGAAAAGTCAAGCCTTAGCTTAATGTCCAGTTTGAAACATTTCAATCTTTAATTTTTCCAGAACATATTTGGAGTTGTAAAGAACATACTGGGAATAACCTGAATTAGAAATTTTAGAGGCATGAATATGTGGGCAAAGAAGAACATCGTGCAAATGGTTGCAGAAAAGGTAACTGTGCCATAAAAATGGAAGCAACTCTGTAAACTGTGCTTGCATCCTCATGAGATAAGAATTTGACACTGGAAATGTAAAGAAAGAAAGGACATTATTGGGAACCAGAAGGATGGCAGCTTGGAAAGAGTTTGAAAGACATTCTAAGGGGGTATTAAGTCCAGCAGAAGAGTTTTAATAGCTGGGCGGTGGTGGCACATGCCTTCAATCCCAGCACTTGGGAGGCAGAGGCAGGCGGATCTCTGTGAGTTCGAGACCAGCCTGGTCTACAAGAGCTAGTTCCAGGACAGGCTCCAAAACCACAGAGAAACCCTGTCTGGAAAAACAAAAAAGAGTTTTAATAAAAGCACATTCACTGAAGGTGTGGGAGTGAAATTAGATTATGTGCTGTGTTACCTGGAGTGGGAATCAGTCTCAGTTACCAACTGCCATATAGAAACTCTCCCAGAAATTAGCAGTCCTTTAGCAACCATCGTTCCTTCCTGTGGTTCCAGGGTGGTTAGATTTTGCTATAAAGTTGCTTAGCTGGATGTGAGATCTTCCGGTAAGTTGAAGATAGCCTCTTTCAAATGTCCATGACATCATTTGAGCAGGCTGACATGGTTGGGGTCATCTGGCCCTGCTCTGCCCTTTAAAGCCTCTGTTTTCCTGGGACAGTCAGAATTCAAGAGGTACGTGAGTTTTGAGAGCAAAGTGGTAATCCTGTAATATCCATCTGCCATGTTATTGATCAAAATCAATCGTAAGATCGGCCTAGATTCAAAGGATGGGGACCATCGGATGCCACTTTTCTTTACAATCAGAGAAGGGAGATCTTGGTGTTTTCCCTCCTGTTGACTATTTCTCCTATATCTTCTGTTTTGTCTCTTATTTTATTCCAGTCAGTTCTGAGATGAACATGATTCTCTACAGGGTCATTTATATAGAGTAAAATCAACTCATGTAAATGCTGGTCTCAGAGGTTGAGGAAAGATACCACTGTCTCTAGCTCCGGGATCTGGCTTAGGATTTGGTAAAAAGATATTGGAACAATGGGCACAGGACAGATCAAAATCTGTAAGAACCTGTCTTTTTCCCACCCACCAGTCTCGGTATAAACTTCCTTTACATACCTCTTCCTATTTCTTTGTCTCAGCACCCAGACATCTGGATCACTTGTAGCTTTGAGGTGTCAAATAACACGGAGCGAGGAAACTCGTTTTGGTCGTATTAACACTGGGCTCCTTGTCTCCTGTGGTGTGTGCTGGAGTCAGATTTTAGAATGCAGAGAATTACTATAAACAGGAAAAAATTTGGAAGACAACCTTTCAAGAAATATGTATTGGCCGTGTTACATCCCTGAGGTATGCCACATGTCCTTGTTTGAGTAGGTGAGTCTTATTGCTGGCATGAACACAAAAGCACACACACACACACACACACACACACACAAATGGTTTTTGCTTATTGTTTTCATTATACCTTTATTCTGACTAGTTGAGCTTACTTTTGGAGAGAAATTTTTAATCTTTAAAAATTCTTTGACAGTTTCACACCACACACTCATAGACATAGAAACTGTCAAATAATTATGTAGCGTGCGTTTGTATGTACATAAATATTGAATTTTCATCCCCTTACCTGCACTGCTGAAACCCTTCTTGTTCCCAACAAACCCCTCCTATTTTATGTCTTTATTTTATTTACTTACTTATTTACTCTTCTGGCCCACTGAGTTTAGTTGTGGTGGCTTACATGAGGAGGGAATCATCTACTGGAATATGGACTACTTGTTAGTAACCACTGAAAAAACTGAGTCCTCATCTCCATTAATGGAGCATAATCCCTCAGGGAGGGGTAAGGCTTCATGAGTTTTTCACCCATGCATTTGAAACACTGATGTTCCAATCTTGCACAAATTTTGTGTGCAATGCACAGCTGCAGTGGAGTGCCTGTCATGTACAGAAGACACTCTTTCACGCTACTCCCACCCAACCTCTGGCTCTTATAATCTTTCTGTTCTGACTTTTAATGTATTTTCTGTGCCATGGAGAAAATAATACAAAAGTATCTTTTGAATTCAAATATTTCATTGTCATACATTCTCTGTGGGTAGGTCAATCATGAGTCTCTATATTAACTCACTCACAGCAAAGAGGGGATTCTCTGATGGAGGCTGAGAACATCACAAATCCGTTGATGTAAACAGAAGAATTTGGAAGGAAATTTGACATCATGACCATTTACCAAAACAAAAATTGTACGTTCTCCCTTAAGGCCTATGATGTATTCAGCCATAGGCTCTATCCAAGTTTATAGTATTGGGTGCAAGTATCCTTTATGGAGCGAGCCTCATATCCAATAATTAGAATGGTTATCCCACAATAGTCAACTCCACTATTGCATCTGTGGGCATAGCTTGCCAGTCAGGCCATTGCTGGAGCTCATGAGATCTACAGCTGGGTAAGGGCACTGATGACTTTTCTCCCAAAGTAGCTTTCACAGCACCTCCCAACACTGTGAAAGCTGGTCAGCAGGAAGGAAACTTCTAGATTAGGTCCAAATTGATTCCTCAGTGACAGACAGACAGACCTTTGCATTGTTTTTCATGGGTTAATAATACAAGAGAATGATTGACTCATTTTTGTTTGCTTAAAGTGAAAGCACATGGACCTATTTTAAAATTATCCATTAGAATGAGCTAATTTTATTTGCATTATAAAAAAGAAGTCCACAATATAAAACATTGCTCTGTGTACTTACTATATAATGTACAAACTCAAAAAAACTGAAGACTTTTATAATATCTGTGGCCCAAAATTATAGTGCTTTATCTGTTCTAGAAGAATTGTAAAGGTATTCATTATAATGTATTGCTATATTGTTAACTGTGGAAATCTTGAGCTTATGATTTTAATTTTTTTCCTACAACAATTGAATAAGTATATAAACAATCATTGTTTATATGTTGCATGAATAAGTCACCATTTCTTGTTCAGATACATGAGTTTTGGAGAAAATGGTGTGACTCTACCTTCAGGATGTCTATTGCAGTAGAGTGGTAACGTAACTACTTTGAAAGGTATTTTTATAATTTTAAATTGTTAGGGGAAGAACACTATTATTTCAGCAGTCCACATCCAGCTGAAATTGTACCAGACAATGAGCTGCAAAACTCTAACAAAAGCCACAGCAGCACCACAGAACAACTGACTCTTTCTGTAGCTTCAAAAGCAAAATTCTTCTCCAGGTCTCCAGAATGTGAAAATGTCAACATTTTAAAAGATTAGCACTTAATCTCCAAATGTATCATTTTCCATCCAATGAATACCCCACTTTGACTCCATGGCATCTCACTTTCTCCCCTCCGTGTGCTAAGTGGCAATGCCCCTAATCATTTAATTAAAGGTGAGATGAAATGATCTCCAGGTAAGCTCTTTAAGTTGACATGCTTAGCCTACTTCAAAGTTCGGGCTTGTGTAAATTTACAATTAGAAGCTACTTTCTCAGCTTACCTTGGATTTCATTTGTTAGACAAAGTCGACTATGCCCTGCCGGGTGTGACGGAGGACAGTTAACTTCGTAAATGCTTTTTATGGAACAAACAAAAGACACAAAGAGTAACAACAGGCTGGCTGAAGAGAGCAGAGTCCTGGGATGGGGAGGCCGTCTGGTGAATAGCTTCTAAATCTTTTCTTTCAAGGTTTTATTTACATGTATTAGTTATACAAAGCATGGAGACGGTTAGTGTTGATGGACCGTGGAGGAATTATGCTGACCTAGGTTTGATTCCTAGAAATAGCTTTTTTTTTTAAAAGGTATGTGCCTTGACAGACTTTTTAGCTAACATTTTTTTTTCATTTCAGCAGCCTAGTACTGAGCCTGACACATAATTCATGCCCAGATGTTCTATTATTATTGTCCACTATCATCATAACTATTGAAGCTATGCTGCAAGTGATCTTTTACTAAGAGCTAAGTGAAATACCAGGTCAATAGCATACTATTATATACAAAAACAATAATAACTTTTACTATGTTAGTATGATGGTAGTGCTAATTTAATATTTGCAGCAATATTCGTACAGTAATATTAATATGGTGGTGACATTAATATGCCAATGTGATAATCCCCACTAACCTGGTATTTGGTCATTTCTAATAGAAAACACTGCTCTTTGCGTGTTTGTATGTGGAACAGAGATAAAGCAAAGATAGCCTTAACTCCCTAGGAATTTATATGGTAAACCATTACATATATTTAGGGCACACACCAAATGTCTGAGATTTCATTTATAGGGAAGCAAAAAGTGCTTGTGAGTGAGGCGGCTCTT